AACGCTCTAACTAAGTCAGCACTGCCACGTGGTGATGAGAAATCCACCACACGAGTTACACACGAAAAGTAAAATGCTTCATAAAATTCAAATAAATTTCACTATTGCGGCATACGGCAATGGCCTTAAATACGGAATTACTATCATCGACATTTTTTCGTGGGAATCGCGAAACAAGTTTGGTAAATTTCTGATCCGGCACCGACTCGATGTTTCAAATAAGTAAACAGTAAGGGGCGAATTATGAATACTCATTAGAATTCAGTGCCACCACGGCTACTACAAAGGCGCAAAAGCCGATTTCCGGACGGAATTTGCTGTTCATGGCTGCAATTTGTACAGTGGCCGTGACCTGGTAGGATATAATTCAGTGACGCCAATTTTCTGAACCACTGTTCTGGAGTCAATAATGTTAGTTGAGTACAACAGCCAGAGTCTTGAGGTGTGTGTCTAACCATTGCTCAATTGTTTCGGCAATAACAAAGATATTTCCGAATACATTTTTCAATGCAACGCTTAAATATAAAGTAAGCGCTCGACGTGACATCAGATGTTTATTATCAACTTCTGAGTAGTAACGGCAATATTCCTCCATCTGCGCTAAATCTTATGAGCGGGCAATGCTGTTTATGCCTTAGAGACTGCCTAATCCACTAGCGATATTCAACAGTCTGGTGATTTAGCTATTTGAATCGCATCCTGGTTGTCCATAAATCTGTTTCGACGATGTATTCGCTCGTAGTCCTGCAATGCTCAGGGGGCCGAATGTGGTGATGATCAGTAAACAATTGAGCGGTGCTGGAGTGTATGCGCTTAAATATCGGCATATGTGTATTTGTCGTCGATGAAATTCACTTTCTAGGTCGTTTCATTGGGAAATAATATCAGCAGGCAGACCGCAAGAAGTATAAGGTCATTGTAGAGTGGCTGGTACCTCCACTCTAAAGAAAGTTGACCAAACTGGCTACGAAATCAAACAATGGGCCGACACGCTACAGCCTTTTGTCAATTATCTTTAAATGTTGTTAAATAGTGCGCGGTGTGGTAGAAACAGCGGCTTCAAGATTACACAAAGATCCTCATGAGTGCTCAGCCTTGGGATCTTTTGAATCCCGACTGGCCATTTCATGTCGTCTGTGACGCTTCGGCTTTTGCCGTAGTGTGCTCGATGCTTCGGCCACATGCCAGTGGGCATGAACGCGGAATCGCGCTTGAGTTTCAGCGATGAATCGTGGCAGAAAAAGCACTCTCTTGCTAGTGAAGCGTTTACTGGGTTCAAGGTGAACCCGCTTGGCTCTCAGCCGTTTGTGTTCTATGACGAGCATGCGTCGCTGAGCTCAGCGATATATCACTGCATCTCTCTCGTAGAGAATGACGAGGTGTTTATCCTTTGTTGCTGAATATGAGGTGTTGCCCAGGTCAGCTTGATGCGGTGGCGATAGCGAGTCAACCTGTCTATAAATCACCTTTGCGACGTCGCTAATTGATAAGCGATACGTACAGCGTTGCAACATGTGTTGCATTGCTGATATCCTTGAGTAGTATGGACTTTGAACTTATGAGCTGCCTTATCGAAGCACTTGCAATTATGTCTCAAGATTGGCTTGCTGTATTGCAGCACTGACACATGTGAAACTCAGTGTGTAGTAACGCCTCATGGTAAGGACCCCAAGTACAGAAATATGTTCAAGGCTTACGATACCTATTTGGTCCGCCACCTCGAACGAAAAATATGGCATACCACTCGGCATGCGCTTTGCACTGGTGGCATAGCATGTAGGAGTTAGCAAGCACATAGGTGCATGCGAGTGAATGTAGTTTCTCGCTGATGTGTACGCAACTTTGTTTAGTTCGTCTGTTGCCAGGCAGTAAGTATCAACTTGATGTTTGATTTCAAGAGACGCGCCCGGTTATTCCGGTTTGTGGCCTTTGTGAGCGAGGGGGTGCTGGCGTTGAAACTGCGATTGCCAAGGTTTTTCGGCGGGAATTTGTAATGTACGAAGCATCCAATTAAAACATGCCAACCGCTGACCACGAAAACAGACGGTTTGACAAAATGCGCGAATCGCGTGGTGGAGTTTAATCTCTTTTTACGCGCGAAATGACAATGGACGTGGAGTAAGTATCACACACTCATTGAATTTGAGGTAGAAGTCACAGTGCATGTCACTTCTAGCCCTACTTGGTATGATATTAATGGTTTGGTTAATCCTCGGGTGCTTCTATAAGTAGGTTTAGCCTAGTTGACAAAGACTGTCAATCGATCTCGACTTGTTGATGTCGACCCGGCAACCCTTTATCGTGTGTGAGAATTTATTTCAATGAGACTAAGCGTCGCTATGACTGAGAGCTAGATTATATATTCGAAATCCACACGCCGATATCAAAGGCACACGAAACACAAACAAGTGTTTTTATATCATTGCCCGCAATCAATCTAGCAACACATGCAATCTACGACTGCGCTTTGTTGGACCATCCAGAGTAGTAACTACTCTATTAAAATCTTAGATAAAATGCAATCTTAGCTTGTCTTCTGCTCGGGCTGAGCGAAGACTTACCATGATTCCACCCTTGAAAGTCAATCGGAGGTAAAAAGAACTCTGTTGTGAGCAGAGCAACGTCTCTACCTTCCCATGCAGCATAAGCTGAAGCTTTGTGGGCTCATGTATGCAAACTTTGCTAAGCTTTCTATTAACGGCAGTCTCAAGCCACGAATTACACTGACAAAGCTCAGACCATGTATTTATCAACCTACCGCGATCCACATAGAAGCTCACGAGAGCTTGCCTCGGGAGGATCGTCAGATGTTGACCGTTCGATGATCAAGGGGTTTATAATTTGGAGTGAAATTCTTGGTGGACCGAACGGTGTACCAAAGCTGTGGCGAAGTAGAAGGGATGTATTCATTTGAGAGAATTGTCGGGATTTTACGCTCCACTTCGACAAGTCTGACGCCGTTGCCGCTTGCTACTGGCACGCCCTCGGGGCTAATCTACCGCGAAATAGAGAGATTTATTGCGCTGCGCTTCCTGCTAGCGGGATGCAACCGACTTTGTGGTTCAGATGCCTTATAGTAGGTAGCCCTTCTGGCTGTCTGATATGAACGAAAGGAGACGTAGACAGCAGAACTGCGAAATGACGGATTACCCCCTTGACGTCCGCGGCGTGCTGTTACGGTGAATAATCAGGCATGAGTCGACGCTCTTGGTCGATAAAAGATTCGCTGAAGCTTACGTCAACCGATGCTAGTCTCAGAGCAAGCAGTGAGATGGTGAAGACAGAAAGCACACGCGGTTCGGGTATCTCGTGCTCGGTTTGCTCCCAATAATAGCAAAAAATCTGCTCACATATGCTTGTAAGGGCTCTACCCCAATAAGCAGTAATCACGACATGGGTCAAGCGCTTACAATCAAGCATAATATCGTCGTGAGCTGTATGGCGAGGTGGAGCAACTTTCTTTCGGTGATTAGGACGCCGAGTGCGTAATTCGTAATGAGGGGCGGCGGTCAAGTGCAGTGATAGCCTTCTTCACGGTAAGTGGCTATGCCGTGTGCCGTTGGTAAGGGCGGAGGTGCCGAGTTAGAAGCTGGAGAGTTTCTGCGACCGCTCTCATTGAATCTCCTCATATTTACTATGAATCTTTCCTTGAGTGGGCCGTGCCTTTTTGAGGCTCGTTAAGTCACCTGACTGATCGCACAGTAAAGGGCCATCAGTGCGGGTATGTTCAGAGGGCTAGGAGGGATAAACTGCTAAGGGTGGAGTTAGACTCCAAGCGCCGTGGGAGCATATTGAAAGCTGACTTTTGTGCAATGACATAGAATTCAAATTCAGTGTGATCCCTAGAAAAATTTACATCATTTTGTTAAATTTTAACGGAGTGCATTATAATACAAACACCCTACATTTCTGTATAGTTGTGCAAAACGCAACAATGTCAATTGTAACTTTCTTTACACTTCTGTGTAATTGGGTATATATAGATACCAATATATTGATGTTTTAGATGGCGGGGACTAGAAAGAATTGGTACGTGATATGCTCATGCTGCTAATTTCACGCAAGGCTATTCTACTATTAGGTGCAATGTAATGAACTGTGTTGTGCATTATACATGATAAATCTTAAAACACCAGTCATAGAACATAAGAGCAAACTAAGTTCTATGCTGCTCTAGAGGCTCTCGGTTGCGCTCCTGGATGAAGCGTACGAAATTGATCTCTTCTTACTGTATATGCGAGCTCTTTCATCAATGTTTTCTCTATACATGGTGCACAACTATCCCATTAAATTTTGAGTCAAAGCTTCCTATTTACAAGGACATCATAGAAGGCATTTCCATAATGGTAATTTTTTTTGCGGGGCAAACATTCATAACCCAAAAGCTTGATGACAGTCCACACTGGAAATATCAGAGGGAAGCATGAAGTATATGCGATATAGATGCACACAACCTCATCTGAAAGGGCAATAAGAGCGCATGTGTATGCGTATATGGGGGACAATCGTCGCTTTGCTAGGGCTGAACATTCCGCTGACGAATGCCATTGAGTTACGAGCCTCAAGCAATTATTTCTGGCTCTTCATAAACTAAATGGTAAAATAAGAACAATTATTTTATTGGCAATCACAGTCACGATGACTTCTAAAGCTTTCAAGTTATGAAGGCATCGATTATCAGCGAGTTTCACGCGTTTTTGCGTGCTGCAATTTATTGTGTAGAAGTTTGTCTCGAGCGACGTCACTGAACAGGTTAGCATCACGAACGGCATCAAACGTTTTCAGAGAGCTACAAAACGCTCACACTGGCACAGTTAACATTTCTGACAGATCATGACCACAACAATGATGCGTCTTCTATTAGCACTCGCATTAACATCGAAGGGTGCAAAATCATAAATTATTTATTACAGGAATGAGGAATGCTCAGATGCTGAAAAAAACCTTCGTAAGAGCATTACTATGTGTAATACACAAAACATCACTCTCACACTCTCCGCATGGGAAACGAAGTAAGTCGCCAGGATCAAAGCCCTCAGACCTCAGGTGTGGTGCCACCACGTTCGCCTTACACACCAACAGGAAGCTCTTTGCACCATGATAATTTTTTTAACTTGCGCTCCGAATCGCCCGGTGATCGCGCTTCTTTCTCACAACGTCGGACCAGCAGTAGCGCAAGTCTCGAATCAAGCTCAAGCTTAAATCCTCAAAAAGAACGATCGATCCAGCGCATGGACAAAGCTATACGACGTCGTGTCCGAGGTGGAATTACATACAACATGAAGTTGCTAATTCGTGGCGCTAAAGGTAGCGGTAAGACATCGCTGTTTCAGAGACTAAAGGGTGAACCTATACCAGAGACGCACCAATCCACACCACAACTTCAATCTGCTACTATTAATTGGAGTTATCGCCAAAACTCAGAGGACAATATCAAGTGTGAAGTATGGGATGTCGTGGACAGAGGATTTAAACAGTTAGAGACTGAGGACGAAACGAAAGAAGATTCACGACTTCATGAGTTCTCAGATGCTAAAAGAGCCGAGGAAAGTAGCAAACGATTATCGGTTGAAGGTACAGCAGCTGCTAGAATGCATAATGGAACTCATGCTGTAGCTATTGTGGACGCCTCGACAGTGGACGTGTATCATGAAGCTCATGGTGTGATTTTTTTGTTGGATATTACTAAGTGGGATACATTGGAGTATGTGAAACAACAGCTAGATAATGTACCGGTACACATTCCAACATTAGTTTTGGGAAACTTTCGCGACAAGGGAGCTGAAAGAAAAATATTTAAGGAAGATATTCAAAAGTTGCTCTATGGATCAACGGATCGGCCACAACAGCAGCAGTGGAAAAGACCAACAGAGTTGTTATATTTTGAGTGCTCATTATTAAATTGTTATGGGTTGAAGTCCTTGCATCAATATTTTGGAATTCCTTTTTTGCAATTAAAGCTAGCGACAATTCGACAACAAATGCGCATCGTGGATAGCGACTTTGTACACCTGAAGCAAGACATACAGGCGACGATTAGTGAACAGCGTTACGCTGAATATGTGGAGCATATCAAGGCTACTGGATCTGACATTCGCACAGGAAGACGCGGGTGTGAAACACCGCCAGCTGTATCAAATAGCAACTTGGTCGAGTCATCTTCTACAGATATCGGCCATGCGACACCATTGAAGCAGCAAGAAGGTGCTCATGATGACGTCAGTGTCGTAGAGAGAGAAGATCGTGGGATGACTAGTCTTGAGCCCGAAACAAACATGGCCCTGAAAGTTGTAAAGACTAATGATGTCTTGTGGCAGGAGCAAAAGACAACACAATCTCAGGACATTGAAGACCTACCTGCAAGAAGCAGTAGTGTGGTGATCCAGGGTGCACCACAACTCAAGTTTGAGCACAAGGAAAGCGAGCTAACTCATTTGAATGATGTTCTTGAAACTGAGTCAAAGCTTGAAGATGAACCGGGTATGAATGAAGAGAAAAGCGGCGAGCCTCGATACGACAGTTTAAGCCCACACCACTCTCGAATGGCGTCGATGGAAGGAGAGATACTTCTGGAAGACTTTCAGGTGCCTAAGCCTCGTATGAATGACCTTGATCACTTTCTTATGGAGAATGAAAGTGATAAAGAGGGTGATGAAGTTGATGGGGACGTTATACTGGCATGTGGGCCTAAATTAATTAATATTAGTGTCCGCAAAGCTAATCACAAACAGCGCTTCCTAGATTCGGATTCTTCGGATTCAGAAGGTAGCAAATTAGCGGCAGATCAACATGTGCGAAAAAAATTGACGCTGCGAAAGACTTTATCGGACCGTACTGCGACAAAAAATTCAAGGATGCCAGAAGAAGTAGCAGTAATTCCCGAATCATCTACATCTATTTACTCCCATTCGTCCGTGTCTCGACTAAGTCAAATGACATCTCCAGTGCTGCAGCAACCTAGCTATGTGGTAGAAGAGACCAAGATGGAATCATGTGAAGTGTCACCAGAGCAGCGACAGGCTTTAAACCCCATCAATGGCAGGGATGTTGCTGTGTCTTCAACGCCGAGTGTTCTTCCTTCTACACTCGATGCAAGTTTAAGGCATGAGCATAAAGATTTTGTTGTGAAGAAACAGCTATTCCAAGGCGATGGCGACGCTGCACAGGTGTCCCTGCTAAGCGATGCTTCTTTGTCGAGTGATGCAAAAGGCACGTTTGTGTCAGAAGTCAAAGCTGAATCAGCCGTCCAAGAGTCACCTGATGTGTTGTTAACGGGAAAAATAACTAGTCTTGTTGGTAACACACAATTGGAAAGATCAAGTGTCTCGACTACTGAAAATTTTGGGCTTGCCATCTCAAGCGATTGGAATGATGTAAGAAATAATGACTCTTGTCAAGATTTAGCTAGGGATCACGTAAAGTGCTCGCTTGAAAACAAAAGTGATGAGCTAACTAATGATATTGAGGATTTTGAGGCTGCTGCGAGCTCGAATGACTCCCAAGATGGTGGTGGCAATGACGGTGGTGGTTGCAACTTGATCTCAGATATGATTGAAGAAGTAGTGATGACACCTTCTTGCGATGATTACAATGGTGGTGCGCGTGATAACAACAACCCGAGTGATATTTTGTTATCTTCGCTGCAAGCCTCCTTACCGATGCCTGGAGCTTTGGCGTCTCCACTAAACCCCACGCCGGCTTCGTTGGGCATTTCACTGAATATGACGCAATGCCATGAATGTTTACTTGGGCACTATCACAAAAAAAATCACATTGAAGCTGACAAAAACGGTTCTTTGTCATCTCTTAAACCATTATCTACCTTACTTGAAGAAACTACGATATCAGCTTTACCCATACATGATGCTTATCCTGATGGTGGCGACAGTGACAGTGCGACAACTCTCCATTTACCAGATTTTACAAAAAACTCGTCAAAGTCGATTGACTCAGACTATGCGATTGGCGTTTCAAGTAATGACCTAGAGACATTTTTGAATGAAGGAGACATTGATGCCGAGAATGCCCCGCCACATATCGAGCCTTCCCTCGATTGCGAATATTTGATTCGACAAAAGGATCAAAGCATCTCAAGTGCAATGGCGGAGTCAAGCGAAGACGATAAAGAAGACTTGGAACGCTTCTCGCGCTATAGTACTAGCAAAAAGAGTCGAAATGAACGAAGACGCCAGCGTAAGGAAGATTTGCGGCGACTAAATGACGCTTTGGACCCCTATGCGTCGTCAACGAGCGAGATTGCAGTTTCGGGCTCGTCCTTTGAAACTTCTGACGTGATGGAAGCCATTCGTCAAGCACAAGAGGAGGCTTTGCGAATGTTTCAGACTGATTCAGTGCCCGCAGATGACGTCGCATCGAGCTCGTTGAAGAAAAAGCATAAGCACAAACAGAAGGAGCGCAAGCCTAAAAAGAGGGGCGGCGAAAAGGAGAAGAATAGCAATCGGAGATCTAAATCAAGTACGCTCTCGTATGCTCGATGATTTCATTAGAGTGTAAAGTATTAGAAACACATTGCGTGACATGAGTTTATTAATCAAAAAATCAAAATTGTTTTATCTGAGCGTAGGAATGTTCTTCAGCGTCAAATTTTACTGTAGCTGAATTAGACCTCAGACGCCAAATTAATTTTTTCGATATTTTGAAGAAAATATTGCTTGACGTGCAGCCATGCAATTTCGGCCTGAACTTCGTCACATTTCGAAAGTGATGGCGTTTAGGGACGAGATTGAGCTTCCAGCGCATAGGAAATGCAACGGAGTTACCGTAGTACCTTTCGTGTCAATAAAGTGACTCCGTGGTTTAACGTCCTCTCAGGTGCATCTTACTTAAGTTTGAGAATTAAAATTTATTGAGACGGCTAAAATTAAGAGCTTACATATACGTTTTATCTATCATTTGTACCACTTGATATAGCTTTGTACAACCGGAATCTATTTTGTTTGGGGTATCTTCACTCAAATATTGTACATCACAACTTTACCACAACCTTTTTGACCTTCTTAAAAGTATTAAACTTCGTCCTAGGTTTGGCCTTGAAGCCATCCCTCTGCGCATTGTGCTAACAAATCTCGTCGCGCTACACCAAATTTACAGATTTCAACAAAAACGCAACACCGATGAGACTAGGAGGATGTCTTATTGAATTTGTTAGATGTTGATGCCGTTGCTTTCTTCGAATTTATACCCTAATCGGGCAAGTAATATGAGCTATTTATAAAGAGAAGACGAGTTTCTGTTCGTGATAGAGGGAGGGATAGTCTTGTTGTATCAAATAAGTGTGTAAAATCTCGTTTTTGTGTTTTAAATAGTACAAATTTAACAGAACCAAAGTTTAATGGATGCCCACTGAATACCAGCTGGTGACACATTGCTATCGAACCCATTTCGCAAAATGCACATGCTATTTCAGAGCGAAGCGGCGTATCGTCGACGTCGTGTTTGGATGCCATGTGAAACAAACGCGAATACTACGATGCTGGTCACTAATTGTTGTGATGGTAGTAAAATTTTAGGTCCGCGTCGTCGAGGAATGTCACGGAATTGCAGCACAAGACGACGAGAGGCTAAGGCAGCAAAACACTTGGCACAGCGAAAGGTGGAGAAGAACAAACAGATGGACAAGAGAGAACATCATCAAACTGAAATTAACATGACGCTGCAAGACGAGGTGCTGTCAATGACGATGGAGATTGAGACGCTGCAGCGACGGCGATTACTGCTTGATTCCGCAAAGATGATTGCACGTACCAATGCGATGACGCATGCTATTGATCATGTCAAAATGTTTTACATTCTTTTTGCAAATGGTTTCAACCCTGTCGTTTATCCCGAGCAGTCGAAACACGCGGCGACTTTTTTACATGGGATTATGACGGAAGACGTTGTGTGTTCTGACTTTCGTGGTGTGGACTTGTTCTTGAATCAGTATAAGGTGGCAACAGAAGCCCATTTTTCAATGCGTTTGGTTGTGCATGATATTTTTATTCTCCGTGAAGACGAATCATCTCATGATAGCGCCATTCAGGTTTTTGCTAAGGCTAATGCACACTTTCGAGTTAGTCGCACAACACTGGAGAAATTGTTTCCTTGCATTATCAACGATGAAGAGCTCACTCAGCAGCTGATTGGCAAGGAGTATGCAATCCAGTATAATAAAGTGTTTCATTTCAAGGATGGTCGAATTTTTCAACATGAATCTCAAGTGGATTTCTGCAATAGCATGTTGGACATGGCACAGAACCCTTTTGTTGCCATGAAGCTTCTTGAAGCATCCCTCATGACCAAGCATGGACACTTGAAGATAAATAATAGCATTCAAGAAGACATCAATCAACTTGAGAATGCTGCGCTGTAATAACAAGTAATCATGTCTTTTTGGCATAATATAGTAAATTCTCGACTAGAATCTTCATAGTGAAAGAAATTGAATGTTCCTACAAACATACTATATCTGATACTCTCAGGAAAGAAAATAAAAAAAACTCATTTCTAGACTTTTATAAAAAATACTCCAGTTACGAACTTTTGTAAACAAATACTCTACTTTTGTGTAAAATACATATGAGAGGGTATTGATTTGTGATCTGTAGTGCAATTCACACAAAAGATATGAAAATGATTGAATATATTATGGTGCCATAGCTTAGTGGTAAAAAAATCACAGCGGCTCGAGGCATACGGAGGATAACTGTCCACATTCTTTTGCAATTTTAATACAGAAATTTACCGAATCTTGTAATAGTATTCCTTTATCAAAGTTTGAAATTGGAGTATGTTTTATTAAAGTTCAGAAATGGAGTATTTTATATGAAAAATGCAAACTTTTCTTTTCATCAAATGTCTTTAAAGATTATACGAAAGTTGGTAAATCATAATTTAAAAAATTGCACTCACAGCGTTACCTAGGCCAACTAGTGTTGCTGTCACACTTACGCCGTGACTTAGTGAGCGCAACGGCTGCATCGCAGTTGCATATGCGTAAGTATGCAAACAACGGGCTACTGTAAATGCGATCATTGCACGATAATGAATGACTGGATCTGCACCAGCCATAATTCCAGCACCAAAGATGAGAAGTCCGATTGGAATCGACTCTAAATCGTTCATAACGATACTTTTCCAGCGCTGCGCTGCCTCAAGACTTTCGGTGTCGCTGGTTTTGTCAAATCCAAACGTTTGCTTACGCTTTGCTGATGAGAATTTTGTATCCTCAGGAGGACGACCACCCGTTACAAACTTCTTAGCACCTTGGATTGTCGTAGCAGCCAAGAATTTGACATATAGCACTGAAGTGCACGCAACGTAGACTTTAATAGTTCCAAGTACCATTGTGTCGTATCTTCTTCACGTGAAACAAATTGCGTTGTGATGGTATATAATGGTTGTCTTGATGACATTGAGACGTGGGGAGGCTAACTTGAGGCCGTTTTAATATTTCTACTATTCTGTGTCAAGGTGAGACTTGCGAAAATATAGATAGCTGACTTTCATTTGATTTGGGACACGTAACTTACGAGGTGACCGAGATTTCCTGACAAGTCTTTGCGCAGAGAATGCATGAGCAGTTGAACTGATACTTTAACGGCGTAACCCACAGTTTTGATTTGCCACTTCCTTTGGAAATTTATTCAATTAAACCGTCAACCGAACAGCGGCTTGAAAGGCACGCCATCAGACGTTTGCAACCAGTTATCTTCAGGATACTTCACATTGTGACTCTCGACTATATGAATTGAATATGCGTGGCGCGAATAAGGTGACTTGTTCGCTTCGCTGTAGTGCACGAAATTGCTATGCAAAAGCACGAGATCTCCTTTCTTAGTAAGTATCGGCTTGCTCTTGCTGATATCAAAAGGTTCTACTTGCGCTGGGACGTTTTCGAGTAATATTTGTCCATACTTCTCCTGTTGCTCCTTTGTGGTACGTCTCAATCGCTGAAGCACCGGCACCGTCAAATGTGAGCCTGGTACACCGTGCAGACATCCATTTTCAAGGGTACAGTCCTCCAAAGCCCACCAAAAGCCCACCACAGATTGAGGCTCGGTATACAGATAGCTGCCGTCCTGATGAGGTCTTACTTCGCCCCCAATACTCGGCTGCTTAAAGATGTACATGGACTGCACTATCAAAGGCCGCACATAATTCAATGACTTGACAATGTCTTGAACATTAGAATCGTAGCTAATCTTCTTGAAAGCTGGGTCCAAGTTGTGCAGATTATGACCAATTTTGTTAACAGCAACATTCAATGGCACTGCTAACGTCTTTTGATCCTTATCAAAAGCACGCTCTTCAAAGAAATAGCGAATCTTATCGCCTGAATCGAGAAAGTATTCATCGTTCATGCGGCGCGTTTGTTCATTGGTTGTAAAGATGGAGCAATGCTTTTTTAAATCACACTGACCCACGTACTCGTTGGCTTTTGCACGAAGTTCATCGCATGTGAAGGAAGAAAGCGCTCCTTTAATAACGAGAAAGCCATCGCGGTTAAAAGCTTCGAGCTGGTCAGGAGTCAATCCTGGCATTTTGGTATTTTATTCCTAAATAAAGTCTACTAAGAAATTTCTATTTTTCTATCAGTGTATCATTACTCAAAAGATCAAAATGAAAATGCAAGAGTGTATAGTATTCCTTCAAGCTGTCGTGGGTGTATCGTATGCTGTGAGGTCACTGTATGGTCCAAATAAACTGCGTAAGCAGATAACAGGTAACTCACTGTATTTTATTTCGATTCGCTCTGAAATGTCTATGCAGATGAACTGGGCCAGACACTGTTTACTAAAGACACATATACCGTTGCAAGCGTGCTACAGAGCCAAAATGCAGGTACAGCTATTCTTCAAAAGGCGTTGGATGAACAACATAAATTTGTTGGTTCAGTACGTAAATTTCTATCTTTGCAAACTTTTTTTGCTTCCTTTACTTACGAGATTGTAGAGCTGTTCCACGGTCGTGACTTTGTGCGGCGTGTTGGCGGAGACTGTGATCGAGCTTTTGAAACAGGGTCTTGACAAGTAAAATTTCAAAATTTAATGATACGATTTAAAAAGTTTTGACAGCATTTGAAAGCAATGTTATTCAGAAGGCACTATCTTCAGCTATGACATGTTGTGTTACAGTATGTGACTCAAGTTGTGAGCATTTGGTGGTTAATTTAATTGATCATGTTCGTAGGTTGCTCTATCCATGCGAATTCCACTGTCTGAAGCTATTCCGTCATTTCATAATCTTACACGAACACAACAACTTGAAGTTATAGTGCGGATACTTTCCACCGAGTAAGCTCTTTCTTCTTTCTTTGATGAAGCAGTGACCATAAGATTCTAATATTTATAGAAGTGATGATCAAAAGGTTGCAGCGAATTTAGCTGTTAATGTAATTTTAAGACTTGACTCGAGTCGATTTTGTGGAGATGAGCTTCTGCCACTTTCGAGAATAGTCACATCTCATGTGGTGCTTGGTGGCGCTACGTCTGCCATTAGCTCTCAAGTATTTGATGGTCTATTACTACCAGTCGCTGAAGATTCGCTTCGAAGTGCATTGAGTCACAAATTAGCTTTGAATGTTGATTTGACAACAGATAAAGGCATTGTTATTCTTAATGGAGACTTAGACACGATCACATTCTCTTGTGATTTCTCAATTCAAGTCATTTTTGTTCATGGTGAAATCAGTGCACGGACAATCGATGCATTTGTATCAAGTACAAGCGCTCCACTTTGTATTCCTATAGCATCGTACGAGTCATTGCGTCAGCTCGCTGAGATGAGTGGAGCTCACCTTGTGGATTCGTGGGAAGAATTGCTGCCGAATGCCATCGGTCACGAAAAGATTCAAATCAAAGCTCATGAATTTACTGTGAGCTCTATTAATGACAAGGACGATGACGAGGCCGCAACTTTGTACATACAAATCTTGCGTAGCAATACCAAGTACCATCTGCATGCATCCATTGTTGTACAAGGATCCAATAATTCCTTAGCTGAAGAGCTTCAAAACGAAATTTATAAAATGATATGTCGTATACGCAACACATTGCGTTCAAAGTATGTGCTTCCAGGTAATGGAAGCTTTTGGTGTGCCTGTGCAGCAGTAATTAAGAAAGAGGCCGAAGTACTGGCCTTATCCAAACTCGAGCTGCTGAGTTTTGCTGTCGCAAAATTGGCAAACTCCTTCAATCAATTAGGGGTGATAATGCTTGGGAACACCACCGAAGAATCATATTGTGCGAGATTGGCGCGAGTCCATACTGTTCAACAACGTTTCGTTCGGAGCATTCAGGACGTAGGTTTGACCAAGTTTTTCTCTTGCTATTTCGACTTTCGAAACACCAATTACGCTCTTTCATTGTCGCCGGGGAGCGAACCAGATAACGTTGATGAGTACTCAAGTATGACATTCGCTTTACAACGAAGTTTTCGAGTTATTAAAATTCTATTAAACATCGATCGCCATCAGGTAAACTAAAGAAAATCTCAAGATATCAATGCAATTGTTTTTGCCAATCAGCTATATCAAATCTTGCAGCGCTTCAGAATTGGAAGGTCACGCAAGAAAAATCGATTCCACATCGCCTACGAAAGCTAACTTAAACATTTTGAGAAGATCTTATCTGATGAATAAAATGATAGTCTATAACACTTAATATGGACTTTTGAGCTAGTTGATGACAGCGTATCGAGAAATGTTTAGCGACATGGTTTTTTGCCCATTTCTGCTATCGTAGTATTTGGAAAGTTAAAGGCCCGGAAAACTATGTGCTTTCATCCTTATATCGAATTGTCAATAGATGTTGTCGCAGGTACAATATTCGTAAAATATACAGAAACCCTGTGTGGTATTGAATACGATAACAAAATTTTAAATGATTGACTGGAAGTCGTTCGGCGTCATACCGTGCGCAAGCGTCCCAAACCGAAAGAGCTCCTCTATGCTAAAGCGTAGATACCCCATATATTACCAGATTTTATTTTTGGCTTCAAGTGAGCTAGCTGAATTATATTGCTCAAATGAGGCTTACCTGTTTTCCTATACCTGTAACCAACATCAATATCTTAGTAGATCATGTCGAACGTTATAGATTCAACGATTTAGCCTTGATAACGTATTGCCGTAAATTAACAAAATGTGTCACTTCTTTTGTCTCAAATCCAATTTCTCAACCTTTAGTGAATAATTTGGGTTTAAATCGGCAAGGAGGTTTAGATCAATGAGTAATAAATCAGATTCGTCGTCAACAGCTTACGAAAAGGCTCCTACGATCACGCCTTGTTTATGGGTGGGTCAATCATATTATTCTCAATTCACAATGCGGATCAACAAGTTTACATTCTGTTTGTTGCGCATATCACCAGCAATACTTTTTGTCGATCGATATATTTTCTTAGCATCAAAGACAGTTCATGACAGGTCGAAACGCTAATTTGAAAGTGTTATCGAAAAAGGGATCGATCATTTTGGTGGACATAAGGGTATTATGAACGTTTTTTAGAGGAATTTGTCACTTGGAAAGCGTTGTCGAAATCGCTTTTCTGTGTAGATCGATCTGTTAATAACTTAAAGCAAATTATAAACACATCTTGTCGAAATTGCAATTTGGTTTGTGGGCACTTGTGACTGAATAGAATTAACAAGATGTCCTGACTATGCCTTTGCCAACAGAAGCAGTCATATGGTGTTTTCCCGATTGGGTTCGAGTGTTTGACGACGAAAGACATGTACCACTTCATTTACTCCATACTTACAGGGGTCAGCATCTGGTTGCGGAGCTTAAGCGACTGCTCAACAAGATGGACACGATTTACGGTTTTCCAACTCATAGATCTTTGGTGATTCCTAGAAATGTTTAGTCGTCGTAAATTTGAATTAGCTTTCGTTGATTCGACGATCACCCTGCGTGCCACAGATTCTTTGACGACGAATATTTCGCATGCCGTTGTTGACACCGAACCACGCCAACATTTTTTGACGGTAATGCTTCGATTTTTGCTTTTTTTTAGAAAATCGAAACCGCGAGGTCAGATTCTTTGTTAAAAAAGTGATGATAGCCTAGTATTCGCGCTCGAGATGATCTGATCGACCAGTATAACAATTATCTTACATTTACATTGGCAAGCAGCTTTTGACCAAATCGCACTCCTGGCGGGGCACGTGGCTATTCGTTCCATCTGAGTTAAATACGACGATCACAACTATGTTTTGATGTCTATCACCCGCATACATTCCTTGCGACCAATGTCTTGTTTTTCACCACTCGATTTGCGACTGCAAGAATGCCTACGCACAGAAATCATTGAAAATGCACAATTGGGTGTTGCGAATGCAGTATAACCAATGCCAACATTCACGGCAATCATCTCCCGGAAAAGATAAATGCTCAATTGCAAGCTTTTTTAAATTGTGTGACATCGCGTTTGCAGCACGTCTCGCGCAATAAGAACACGAACTTTTCGAAAATGTTGATGAATTTGGAAAGCGTATTGTATCCAATCCTTCAAAGAAGGCAGCATCCAATGCGCGAATCAATAGGCACACCAAGGACCAAACTTCAGTGTGACGCGTTGCGTTG